CCATAAGCCTGGTCTTCCAGAACCATGAAAGCAACACTGGAGGCTCCTCTCAAAACTGCCAAAGAATAAGCAGACTTTGAAAGCTGTGCCATTCCCAAGGCCACCCTGGGCAGCCCCATCCCGCTATGGCCACGGAGGCCAACAGATAAGGAGTCCCTTCCAGGCAGCGAGTCTGTGCTGTCAGATGGCTATCAAGGGACTCTGTACTGCCAAAGGATGTCTTCACTGTTCTGGGCAGTGGGATTCGAGATAACCACTAGGAATACCAACTCCATGCCTCCTCTTCTGATGAATGAGTTTCAGTAGCTGTTTGACTGTTTGTATGCCACTATCTATGGGGGATGTTGGGAGAAAATAACTTGTCTTTCAGTTTTAAAGTTCATAAGATGCCACCTACAGCTAACAGAGAAGACTTGTGTATCCCGAAAGGTTTAGCTTCATGCTGTGACTGCGTAGGACTGGGGTATCTCATTAGAGGAGAAGAGGAACGGCTCTGTGTGGAGGCAGAAGGGTGCCCAAAGGATTCAGCTATAGCAGACACAATTGTCCCTCAAATACATTCTTTCCTTGTTTTTCAGGAACAGGATTTTGGAATTTTACTTAGGTATGTGGGCTCTTGGAATAAGAATGAACTTTTGTAGGCTCCCTGGCAGTAGATATGTCTTGGTGACCAAGTTCTGATCAACAAGACATCCAACATCCAGTGATGTGCCCTCCAGGAAGGGGGTTTGCTTTTATCCTCCCTTTCCGCTGGCTGGAAAGTAAACAAGGTGGAAGCTCCATACTAAGGATGGAGAGCAACAATGTGGAAGGAACCTGGGACACTACCAAGCACGCAGCCACCCTGGAAGCCTTGGCAAGACACAAGGTCAATTTGTACTTTGTGTAGGCTACTTTGGTCAAGAGTAGAACCTAAATCTGATCTAGAATTTGCCACACAAAGTCAAGGCTGAGATGGGTACTGTATGTGAAGAGGAAAAGAGAGAATTGGCTTCTAAAATAACTGATATTTATAAGTTTTAAAAAAGCAAACACAGGAAGAAAACATGTACAGACATCAACTATGAGAATAAAAATGTCACCGGACAATAGTGTTGCATAGCTTTGAATGTTTTTATATTGATCAAATTGTTTTTCAGCAGAGTCACTGACAGAACAGGTCAGAATGAAAAATATTCCAGATTTACAGGAAAAATATCACTGATCAATTAAGAGACTTCAAAAACGACATGACTTCACACAAGTCCTTTGGTTGCTCCAAGCAGAACGTGAGCCATGAAGATGGTGGGCCATCCTGGCCTCCAACCTCCCACGTGTTTGGTTCCCCAGAGTCTTTGCCATCTGTACTGAGACTGCTCCCAGCTTAGGATGACAGGCAAGAGGGTGGCAATCCTCATCTGTGCATGCAACAGTGCCAAGGGCTGAGGGACAATTTCTTGGTGACATGTCACAGAAATGTGATCCATGT